TTATAGTATGGTAGTTTGTCAAGTAGAATGTCATGCGAAACACAGTCGAAAGCTTTGCTCAGGTCACAAAAAACAGACACCGTGTGTTGTGAGTTCTCAAAACCCTCCATGATATTTTCAACAAGTTTCAAAATTGCTAGTGTTGTGTTTTTACCCTCCCTAAACCCAAACTGACCAGGACTAAGAATGTTGTTTTGTTCAAGGTAGTTCGAAATTTGTTTTGCTAAGCATTTTTCATATATTTTTGATAGAATTGGTAGTAAAGAAATAGGTCTGTAGTTGCTTGGGTCATTGGCATCTCCTTTTTTGTATATGGGTACAACTTTTGCAATTTTAAGACAGTCAGGAAAGATGTTCTCCCTAATACAATGATTACTCAATTTAGTTAAAGGTATAAGAATTAAATTTTTCACCCCTTTCATTAATGTTATGTTTAGATTGTATATATCTTTACTCGTTGTGTTTTTAAGCTGATCAATCACCTCCCTGACCTCGTTATAAGAGACTTCTTCAAAACAGAAAGGATTATTATTTAATGCTATGTTTTTTAAGTTTTCTATCGGATTAACATTTTCATTTTTTATTTGTTTTTGTAGATCTGCAGCTACATTAATAAAGTAGTTGTTAAAATCTTGTGCAGATAGGTTAAGTGATTGATCCAATGGTTTTGAGGGCTTTTTACGATGTTCGTTTATTACTTCCCACATGCACTTGGTTCGGTTGGTTGAATTTCTTATTTTTGTTTCATTACACTGTATTTTTGCTTCTTTAATTGCTTTTTTGTAGTCTCGTCGCTGTACTTTTATATATTCTTTCAGCTCATTAGTTGGGTGATGAATATAAATATCATTTAAGTGATTTGAGTATTCCCTTTTGTCTCTAAGGTTGTTATTAAACCAGATAATGTTATAATTTATGTTGTTTTTTGTTCTATAGGTTTTTTTAGGGAATGACTCGTTAAAGGCCAACTCAATCAACTGCATGAGGGTTTCAAATTTTGTTTCAGCTGTTAAAATAGGATGACCTATAAAGCTAAAATCAATTGCTGAAATTTTATTGTAAAAAACATTTTTTCCTTCCCAGGTAATAGGCTGACACAATTTATTTATAAACTGGTTAGTTGGTTTTTGCATTGTGCAATTTAGTGTGATTAATTGACCATTGTGATCTGACTTACCAGGTTTTACTATACTTGCATGGAAATCTTCTTCTGAGAAGTTTATAAAGACATTATCTAAGCAATTCTGTTCTCTTGTTGGTTCGAAAACAGTTTGTGATAGACCATATGATTGAAGCATATCAATAAGCTCCTTGTAGGTTTTTTCATTTGTGCAAAATTTGACATTGAAATCTCCTGCCAATATAATTTTTTGTTGTATTCCTATAAGAGCCAAAATCTGGTCAAGAATATTGAGAAAGGTGTCAAAATCACCCGAGGGTGACCTGTATACTGATATTATTGTGATATTGTATTTACTGGATTTTGCAGCACACACTTCAATACACTTCTCCACACTCGGTTGTTTAATGTCTGTCAATTCTGTAAAGTCGGTTCCCTGCTCCAACAAAATTAGTGAGCCCCCCTTAATATATATAGAACGACAAAAAGATGCTGCTACAGTGAGATTTCCAATTTTTAGAAAGTCTATTTCTTCTGAATTTAGGAAGTGTTCTGTAATACACATTATTTTAATGTTTTTATCACAGCTAAATGCATCCGGCTCGTCTGTGATATCCCTTATTGATTGGGCATTGTAGTGAAGCACTTGAAAATTTGCTTCGCATTTTTCTTGTATATGTTTTAATATTTCTCCTGCACTATCCTTTAATTTGCCTGTGTTTGTAGGCTTCGTCTGGCATGCAAAAAATGGTTGATTATGACCCCCTCACCCCATACATCTGAGGTCATAATTTTTCCTGCTTCATTCTCCAATACCTCTATTTTAAATGAGCTCTTATAGCTGCTACTCTTGGTTTTCATTTTATAGCATTTGGTTTCTGTTTGTGTGCTGTTTATTATGTAGTTTTGAACATCTTCTTCTGTGACTGTGGGCGATAAGCCTGAGAGAAAAATGTAAGCTTTTCGTGGGGCCACTTGTAGGCTAAAGTTTTTGCAGCCTCCAAGTATTGGCTTTTGCCTGTTGGTGGTGTTAATTTTTCTGTTTATAACCCCCTGCCAGTCGTTTTTGTTGTTTTCTGTTTTCCGGTTATTATTACAATTTTCGGCATTGACGGCATTTTGAGTTGCCTTTTGCTTGTTAGCGGCACTTTTCTTCCTACGTACGACCTCCTGCCAGTCGTTTTTGTTGTTTTCCGTTTGCGTATAACTATAATTTTGAACATTTTGGTTGGTGTTTTGATGATTTTCTTGGAGACTTTCTTCGATTTGTTCAGAGATAAATACTATATAAACTGTCGAGAATGGAATCTCGGTGTAAATTTTGTTGTCAACAAAAATGAGCCATGCCAGCGCCATCTACCATATCGGAAAATCACTATTCACTGGTTTTGCATCGATGCTACAGACACCTACTTTATATAGGACATTTTATGATAGATGGCGCCCTGTTCGCATTACTGTGGCGTCATTGTTCCGCGAGTCCGTTGTGTTCAACCTTGGATGGCTCAACTATTGTGTACAACCCTGGCGGCCTGACGTGACGTGACAGAAGACAGCTGTCCCAGGTTGTTGTTTACTTCTAGTCAGCTTGTTGCCGCGCAATTATGATATCGTGTTGTTGTTGTTAACAAAATAAAGTATTTCGATTTATTTGTATGTTCAGTGCCCAGAATTAAACCGAGTTATTAGTAAAACAGTGTTTTCATTCGCTGGTGATATATCAAGCAAACACATAGCAGTAGTAGCTATATTACTGTCGGTCTGTTCAAATTCGTTTATTCTAGACTTTGGGGCATTAATGTTTGCTTAAATTAATTGATAATTTGTTAATTAGATCAAAAGACAGTTTCTTTATCGATGGTTAAGGGTATCCTTAACATATTTTTTCAAAGTTCTGATTGATGTTTAATTGAACCTGTCATTTATCTAATCAACAAAGATAAAAATAGATCTTCCAATCTATAAAGTTTGAAGTTCTTCTTGAAACACACAAAACAACTTTGAAATCACTTAAGAACACTTGAAAACACAAAGAAAGATGAAATGCGAGACCGGCGAACAAAAAACATTATGAATTATTAGTTATGATCAAATGAATATTTTGGCATATTGTCACATGTTGACATGTCAGTTATCGACATCGGACGTGTTCTTGATGTGCTGGTATTTTACAATTTTGACAATTCGGTGGTTGTCAGCGACATCTAGAAAAACGGAAAATAGTTATTATGTGGTTTATAACTGGCAATGAGAGATCGCAGGGCCTGGATTTGTTCAAGTTCTTTTCCACTTTTGTCAACTGTCAACTGCCATGTGCATGGTGACGTACTCGAATCACTCGTTGGGGATTGGGTTAGAGACAGAGTGCGTTTATCATAACTGTTGGAGTATGGTTTATTTGTTTATTTTTTTCCAAGATAGATTTTGGCATTGTCAACTTTGAAACATAAACAATGCCGCTTATGCCATTTATTGGTCGCTATTGTAAAACTGATGTCAACCTGCAGAAATACTCATTTTGCGACCAATCAGGGTCAAGCGTAATTGTTTATGTTTCAAAGTTTTCAATGTCAAAATCTATTTGGGAAAAAATAAAGTGTAGTCGGCGATAATAGTCACAGATGAACCCTCAGGATGAACCAGATATTCGAGTGGGCCTGTCAACATGCATGATTAAGCCAATATGACGTTAAGGTGCCGTCGAGCAACATAGGATTCATAGATTCCTTATCGAGGAAGTTTATATTAAAATCTCCTGCTAGTATTTTCGAGTCAGACGGAATCTGCGGAAGCACTATATCCAATCTCCCCAGGAAATTCCCAACTCTAGCAGAGAGAGACCTATAAATACAAAGAATGAAGGGGGATCTGGCTTTGGAGTAACGAACGGAGAGTTGAAACGAAAATTCCCTCATCAGATCACCACATTCATCAACAAGCACTACTCAACGCTGGAAGATCCTCTGAAAAAATTCAAGGAGCCACCAATGTAGCAAAAACATGTGAAGTTCATCACATTTATGTCTTAATGACTGAATATTATATAGTAAAACCTCGAGTAAAACAGAAAGATCATACCTAGAACATACATTACTATTCTTAGCATCAGTATTACTTTTTGGCATATCGATATTATTTTTGCCCAGACAAGCACTTGACAACACCAATGAAGAGCCTATCTGGCGATTGTTTATTCTGAAAAAGAGCCCTGATTTACATTAATAGTCTCGCCATTGTGGCCTGCTAGTATTTGAGCATAAGTATGCTTTGCACCCAAATCATCAACACATTTGACATAAGAGGTAACAAAAACATTCTTTAGAGCATGGGTACAATTTACATAAGCTGATAAATTTTTGCAAAGACTGTTTCGACAATCTAAATTTACTACCTACACCTACCCTATTATTATTAAATACTTACTTTTGATCTCGATTAACGAATTTGACACCCCGTTGAATTAAATAAGGTTTTGCATGGGCCAAGGCCTATAAGTTATAAGTATGATGTGGTTAGAGCACATTGAAACCCTTGATTATTTTTAACGGTAGTCAAATTCGAAAACTGAGAACAAAAGGTCCGGCACTAAAAAAGCAATCTGATACCTAAGACAGTCCTGACAGACACACACAACGATATCACTCGGGCACCAAAACGACGTTTGTTTAATAACTCTTCAATATTCTGTCAGAACTGAGTTAAACAATGGGTACAGTCCGAGGTACCGTCAGGCGGTGCCATCATGGTATGTAATATTTTTTTCATTTCACACATTTGTGATATATGTATACCTACCAGTTTAAATGTGAAAAAATCACTGTGGAATCTGGTTGATCTGAAAAGTGTTTAGCAATATACTCACAAAACAACTTTTTCTCAGAGTCATGCCAAAGAACTGCACTCTCTGTATCCCAACATCTATAAAGATCCCAATCACAAACCAGAAATGGCCATAGCACTGACACCATTCGAGGCACTTTGCGGCTTTCGTCCTTTGTCAGAAATAAAAAAGTTTCTAGAATGTAAGTCGATAGTGATTAGTGATACATTTAATAGTTGCATTTAATATTTTCCTGTTTTTTTTGCAGCCATTCCTGAGCTACAAGAAATTGTTGGCAATGATGCACTTAGCAGAGATTGTCAGTTAATTCAATGTGCTTTTAGAGCAGTTTTAACTTGTCCTAAGAAAACAATAACAAAATTAATTGATAGTTTATTGCAGCGATTTTCAGAATCTGGTAAGATTATGATATTTTGGTAAACCTAGCAAAATTTGTCAGTGTAATTTAAAACTAGATTCATAGGGGTCATATTGTATAATTTGGACTTGGATAAGTCACGACTCTGTTTTTAAAAAGATTCATCTTACTACTAAAAACATTAGCTCATAATGTTATGTTAAGTTTAGGAATTAGCATCACATAAAAAATGTCCTGCAAGATATCTTAGGATGAACAGTTAAGCAAAAAAAAACATGTATAAATAGTTAACTTCCCACAAAAATTTAGGCCTTTTCTCCATGATCCAGTTGGCCTATCAAGTATCAACAACCTTAAATAGTGGTTACATTTGCCTCATTGTAACATATCGTTTAACTGACACAGGCTAACACCACATTGATTATTTCATCCTTATTTTGATTCTAGATAAAACTCAGAGAGCTTATTTGCATGCTGACTTGGTGCAAAGGTTACACTCACAATTCCCCTACGACAATGGAGTGTTGATGGTTTATTTTTTAAATTACCTAAAACTACATCCCTCCGAAGCTATTTTTCTTGGAGCCAATGAACCTCATGCCTATCTGTCAGGAGGTAACAAAGTTGATATTATAATATCTAATCTAAATTAAGAAAATTGAGGTAGCTTCTAAATTTTAAGATTGTATTGAGTGTATGGCATGCTCCGATAACGTGGTGAGGGCCGGTTTGACGCCCAAATTAGTAGACGTTGATACTCTGTGTTCGATGCTCATTTACACTGGAGCACCGCCAACAGAAAAATTATTTGCACCTACTCGGGAAGATGAATTTTCTGTTATCTTTAGACCACCAGTGCCTGATTTTGCTGTCATAAAAATCTCGGTAAGTATTGTTACTACTTCTTTAACATGAGGCTAAAAATATCCGGTGTGATGATGTAAACTAAGGATAAAATATAAACAATGCCAATATTTTACTTTAGGTGCCAGCAGCCGAAAATAGTTACTCAATAATAACCAGAAGTAGCGCCAGTATTTTATTAATTATCTCAGGAAAGGCACAATATAATAATGGGACTGTGGTACCTGGGACTGTTCTATTTCTTCCTTCAGATGAAATGATCACCTTTACGAATTTGGAAGGAGAATTACTAATATATCAAGCAATAGCAAATGTGTGAAATAGGGGTATACATATTTTATTTTGGTTGAGATTTTTTATGTGATTTAAAATATACGTTTTGTTATTTACTGATGGTAAAATATAATCGAATTTTAAACCCTAGGAGCTGCCTCTTATTGGAATTTAATTTTACGAAACATCTTCGAAAACAACCAGTGTGTATTGTTTCTACTAACAAAAAATTGCAGCAAAGAAGCAAAACCATATTTTTTCTCAAATTTATCGTCCAAGTGTTCAAAAAAATAAGAAATACCACGTACCAAAATCTATTTTTGATTTGTTAAACATTAATCTGGCCTGTTTAAAATAGTATCTCTGAAAGACATACATCATATTATTTATATCCCATCCTCATCTAATAATACTTTGTAGTATACCTTAATTGAATTAAAAGGAGATCTCTCGTATTGTAAGTGCGAATAATTTAATTTACTAACTACCGATTATAGCCGCATCACTTCAATGACACTATTGGCGGTATTATCATCCGGCACAGAAGCTGTTCTCATTTCAATGGTTTTTAAGTGTATAAACAGATAATCGTTTATAGGATGTGTAGGTTATAAAGTAGACAAGAACTCATGTAATGTTTGTTACTAAATGCGTTCAATAAGTTACATTGATGCAATTTTTTGTTAAGGCTGAATAATTCCACTTTATTTATTTGGAAGGCTATAAAATATGACAAGTTGTAGGTATGTAGATTATATAATATTATACTGTACCCACAGCTGAGCATGGCAGCCACGTTGTTGCAAATGGTGGTTCGCTTCATCCCTGAATCCGCGACATTCATCAGGATCGTTTAGATTTGTTTCCATCCTCGAAGAGATGGCTACCACCTTCATACGCGAAACCTGGGTCAAAAGGTGAGCCTGTAGAGCTCTGTAGTTAGCAGGTCCAATTCTAATTTTTTCTGTGGAATTCAATGCATAATAAATGGTATTGTCGCGGCTTTGGGTTGCCTGCTGACAAAAATCTTGGGTTCGTTGTTCGTTTCGCTTATTCCAAAAATCAAAGTCCAATTAACACAGCAATAATTTATTCCACTTAACAAAACACTCTGACACTAATTACTTTATTAACAAACTCAACAATTATAGTTATTTATGTATCAAGGGAATTATGCGGGTGTTAATACCCCAGGGCAACGTTTGTGTCCCGAGGGCCTCCGGCCCGAGGGACACCAATTGCCCGTGGGTATTAACTCCTGATAATTCCCGTGGTACATAGATAATTTTATATCCTACTGAATTTACTGTATTCTGTCTATTTTTATAAAGGAATAAGCCATAAATCAAAATTTCTATTTTTTGTCAAAGTGTTACCTATTCAAGGTAAAAGCGGGAGTTATGGAAATCCTTAACTCCCTTGGGAGTTATGATATCCTTAACTCCCTTCCTTAACTCCCTTGGGAGTTATGAAAATCCTTAACTCCCTTGGGAGTTAAGACCCTGTTTATGATTAACGTAACCAAGGTATTATATGGTTTTAATAGTTCAGTAGGATATAAAACTCTTTACAATCACTATTTAAATCGTATCACACTCGAACTGAAACTAAACTTACAAATCAATGCCGGCCTTCTTATATATCTCTAAATCTATTCCTGTAAAATCTAGAATACACCCGATAATCTAATTTTCCAGATTAAAGTAGAATAATTCGCTAGATTCTAGTATTTCCGCCATCGATTCTTGACAGCCTGGCGGACGCCGTTTTTTTTCTGGCGTTAACGATTTCGTAGCAGTATTGAAAAAATCCTTCAGATAACTGTCTTCTATTATGTGACCTATATGGACTCTAAAAAGAACATCGAAGTGTCATCCGCGAACAGCATTACAGTCCAACGTTACGCCTGTTTTTGCCATATGCTTCACCACCTCGCTCCTCATATGAAAAGTGTCAGTTTAAAAACGACAGTCAATACACAGCCAATATGTAGCCTGGAGTTTGCGCAATTCGAAATTATCAATCGCGTATAGCCAAATTATCTAAAGATGTACCTACATGGAAAGACGTTTTCGGAAGAAATGATTGTCTTGAATCCTAACTTCCTTCACCATGTTCTGTGAGCTCCAAGTCAAAGGGGTCACACCCCCAAGAAGTTTTTGAAATTATATCAATCTCGAAATGCTCTCATCCGCAGGTACTGCAGTTGCTGGAACTATTTTCTAAATCCCCACCCATCAGATGAAAAATGTCGGTTGTTAAAATCAGCGATGTCATAAACAAACTGACCAAACCGGGCTCGATTAATTTTTACTTCCGGCTTCATGACAGAGTTTAAGTTACAAAATGCCATGAAATTTGATATATCTAGCAGCTTCCGGGAACCACACTCCGTAGTATTTTTTGAAAAAATCTTCGCTCACTCCATTATGATTAGAAAATATAGGTACATCATCTCCAGGCTTCTAAGAATATTTTTCTAGATATCCGATATCGCTTCATGTTCTACCGCGTCGAATTCCTCGCTCGATCACGACTGCCACTGACAGTGTTGCCAACGTCATATCCCTCTCACACAGCTGGCTGCCACACTTTCCAAAGAGCCCTATTATTCCAATCACCTGAGCAGCTACCAAAATTTGCAAAAGGATTGCTGGAGAATGCTCATCGCCCTCTTCGCTCTTCGCATTCCTGCTGCTCCCCTGGATGCACTAAACAACTTAAAAAAATAAAAACAGTTCAGGAGGACACGAAAAATTTTTTTTCTCAACTTGTCTGATTTTGTATTGTCGGTGGGGGCAGTTTTTCTCCATGTCTAAGTACAGCGAAGGCTATTCCGATCCATGAGGAGGGAAATCTGGATGATCCTTTAAAAATTGATATCAATTGTGAAATATGTATCACTTCTATTATATTTAAAATTTTATATGGTCCGCCATAAGTTGCTTGTGACACCATCATTTCGAACGAAACCATGTGTGGATAATGAAAGGTCTTTGGAAACAAATATTCCTTTTCTATAATTCCTTCTCGCAGGAAGAACCTTTAATTGCCTCGTGAAGCACTTGAACGGTTCAGCGAATATGAGTGGCTCATAATTCTTTGTTTCCTCAAAAAATTCTCCTGAAAGTTTCAGAGTTGTTCCATAGACCAATTCAGAAACTGAGCAGCCTTAGTCCTCCTTAAGAGATGTACGGATACCAAGTACCTAAAAGTAAAACAAAAGGAAGAATGAACTTCGTTGACCAGTCAGAAACAACTACTCCGAGAACAAATACCCCTACTGGCGTTGAACTACACTGATTGGTCTAAGCTTGCGTTGACAATGGAAATTGTTAGAAACTTTTTTTTTTTTTTTTTTAAGGTAATGACCAACGTGAATTCAGGGACACAACGGTCCCTGTTTGGGAATCGGCCCACTGAGCAGTGGACTCGGGCTTCCCGTGCCAATCCTTGACGCGTTTCGTCCTTGTTAGGACTCATCAGAAGGACATAGGCTGAAGCTCCCTGTCCAAGCAAAATTGAACTTCGTTGACCAGTCAGAAACAACTACTCCGAGGGCAAATACCCCTACCGGCGTTGAACTACACTGATTGGTGTCCACTGCTCAGTGGGTCAATTCCCAAACAGGGACGGTTGTGTCCCTGAATTCACGTTGGTCATTACCTGGAGAAAAATAAATAAAAACTTTCTAACAAAAGGAAGAATATCGACCCACTCGATTTTTGGATGCAATTTCAATGAAATCTTAATTATTCATTTACTTAAATGTTCCACAATGCCATTTGACGAGGGATGATAATATTGTTGTCCGAATTTTACATGAGCCAAGTGGTTTTAAAATTTCTTCCAGAAAGTCGACTCAAACTGAGATCTGAGATCAGTTGTTATAGTAGAAAGAAGGTACGTCAAATCTTGAGATCCATCCAGCAATGAATGTTTGAGATATAGAAGCAGTGATATCGCTAATCGGAAAAGCTTCTGGCCAACGAGAAAAACGGTCAATACATGTAAGAATAGGAGTATCCTTTTCAATAAGGCAACAGACCTATGATATCCAAATGTACATTTTCGAATCTCTTGGAAGGAGGACAGAAAGTTCCGATCTCTGGATTCGTGTGTGTTATAAGTTATAACACAAACAATAATGTTATAACTTATAACAATATTCTTTTGCCAACTTTGACAGTTGTGTACTTAACGTTGGATAGCTTTATTCATATTGGGACAAAAAAAGCGTGAACATATGAGACGTTGAGTTGCTCTGATTCCTGGATGTGACAATGAATGAAGTACTTGTTATAAAATGGAAGAGAAACCAATTTAAAGACTGTCGTCAGAAGGCACAAGTTTTGGTAGTTCTATATCTACTGTTTGTGCTTTTCTAAAACTGTCAAAATGTAGATCATTAAGTAATGAAAAATCTATCGAGTTGATTCCCATCCTCGATAAGACGTCTGCTACTACATTGTCTCTTCCCGCTATATGCCGAATATAGGAAGTGAGAGATGCGATGAAGTCTAAATGATGAATTTCTCTTGATGGATTGTAGCTATATCTGAAGATGATGAAATGGCATAAATAATGGGTTTGTGGTCAGTTAGAGTTAGAATATGGAACTCACACCAAACGAACTAAACCTGTGTGTTCTGTGGGGAGAGAGTTTTTTTGGAAAAAAAACGAGATGGGACACCAATCATCACCAACCTTTTGTTGCAAGACATCACCAACACAGTTTTCGGAAGCATCAACAACGATGTTAGTTTCAGCATTCTGTTTAGGAAAGTGTAACATGCATGGACTTGACAAAGCAAACTTAATATCCTCAAACAAATTAATTAAATGTTCTGACCACTCAATAATTCTATTCTCATCTGCGGTGGTGCTGGCGCCTGGCCTGGTGGTGATGTAGGTAGTGTAGGAGTAGGACCAGGGTTGCCAACTTGGTATATTTTCTACTAGATCTGGCATAATTTCACTTCATCTAGCATTTTTGTTTTTCAAATTATACCATGGTATTAACTTGTTTTATTTGATACCAGATTTGGCATAATTTGTAAATATAATGGTAATGTAATCGAGGAACTCTCCCGAGCTGCTCTGGAGTGGGTCACTTGAAAGAACCTCTGTGCCGGCGCGTGGCGATGAAA